AGACAAAAAGATAAAAAAGAAAATTAGATTTGTACAAAAATATATCTTTAGAACCTCTATTGAAGAATCTATATTGACGTGTGAGACACACTGGGAAAACTTCTTGGAGTAACAAGGAAAGCTGACACTAAGCTGTGTTAGGACTGTTTGCAGAATGAGGAAAAAGTTCTAATAATGATATAATCCTTATGTCAGAAAGATTAACAGCAGTTCCTTACTTACTGTTGCCCAACTTTACAATGATAACCTACGCTTACTAAGAGCTACCGCCACTTTGCCATATCTTCTCCCATCTCAGGCACCCAACACATGGGAACATCTTTAGTAGAAGCACAACACCTGTGCCCTCACCCCAATCTTCTCCCCAGAGGTCAACAAAGCGAGACCTTTTGTCCCAGCTCAGTCCACACACTCACTTATTCAGGTATCTTACAACTAAATAGGACAATCTCTGCTCTGTCCAAATAGATATGGAAGATAGGGAGCTTCCTCTCTGGGAATAATAATAATAATAATAATAATAATAGTAATAAGGCTGGGTGCGGTGGCTCATGCCTGTAATCCTGGCACTTTGGGGGCTGAGCTGGGCAGACTGCCTGAGCTCAGGGGTTTGAGACCCGCCTGGGCAACATGGCAAAACCCAATGTCTACTAAAAATACAAAAAAATTTAGCCAGGTGTAATGGCGCATGCCTGTGGTCCCAGCTACATGGGAGGCTGAGGCAGGAGAATCGCTTGAACCCAGGAGGTGGAGGTTGCAGTGAACTGAGATGGTGCCACTGCACTCCAGTCTGGGTGACAGAGTGAAATTCTGCCTCCAATAGTAATAATAAGAATAATGACAATTTTCTATCTAAAATTGACATATACACTCTAAGGCTACTTACATATTATAGACCTAAAGGCTGAAGACAATCTAGAATGTGGCAGAAAAAGTATGTTTTTGGAATCCTAATTAGAGTTCAAAATATATTACTACCACCCTCATCCCCACCATCAAAAAAAATGGCAGCCAGCAAGGAACAAAGGCCCTCAGTCCAACAATCCTCAAGGAACTATGCTGCCAACAACCACAAGAGCTTGGAAGGGGAACCTCCCCTCACTGAGCCTCTGATGAAATCCCAGCCCTGACCAGCAACTTAAGGGCAGCTTGTAAGAGACTCTGTGGCTGAAGACCCAGGTAAGCCACATCCAGATTTCTGACCCACCGAAAGGGATCACAAATGTGTCTTGTTTTAAGCTACTAAGTTTATAGTAATACTGTTACCTAGCAACTGCCAATTAATACAGACAAATGAGAAACACAAAATATAATTAGAGCGTAAACTAAAGGCAGTAGAATAACAAGTAAATATAGGAAATTTCAGGTAAAGGAAAGGAAAGTTCACTATGGATAAGGTTAGTTTTGAAACATTTCATACAGGGGTTAGTTATGAGACGTGTCTTAAGTGTTTCAAGAATTCAGACTGGCAGACAGGTAGAAGGAATAGCAAAGAGGTAAGAATCAATTGAATGTCTCGGACAATAAGAACATCACACTGAGGAACAGTGGGAGGAGACTGAATAGGTGAAACAGGTCCAGATCACAAGAGGTCTGAAAGGGCAGGGCTGAGAGGCTCTTCTTTGATGCTACAGACACCACCACCAAAGGAAAGGCTCTTGAGGAGGGAAATGACAACATAAGAGCCCTATTTTAAAGAACTTAATCTTATCAAGTATAAAGGATAGAGAGATTAGAGATAAGATGACCAAGAATAGATATGCTAGCACAACAGTCTTCATGAGAGGCTAACAAACATGGGGAAAAAAGGTTCACACTCATTAATAATCAAAGACATGCAAATTAAAACTATAAAACACCATGTTCTGGCCTAACAAATTAGCAAATAATAAAAACTAACAATACTAGCAAAGATAAAGTAATCTCAGACACTGTTGGTGGGAATATAAATGGAACGGTCTTTATGGAAAGCCATTCAGCAATATGCATTAATAATTTTAAAATATTCAAATCCTCAGACTCACTAATTTACTTCTTAAAATATGTTCTAAGGGAATAAACTGATTTACCCATTCAATAAGATTTAAATGAGTGCCTACTATGCTCTAGGAAGTGAGCTAGGATCTGAGACACAAATCAAATATATCTCACTTCTTCTCTCATGGCACTTAGGATACACATTTAACAAATAATCAAAAAATAAGTATATAATTACATATACTACAGGATACAATGAGAGTACTTTTGAATATCAGATTTAAACTGTGACAATAAAAAGGCATCTCTGGGAAGTGACATTTATGCTGAGAGCTGAAGGATGAGTAGAGTTTTGCCACGTGAAGATTGGGAGGAATTTTTTTTTCTGATAGAAGAAACAATATTCATGAAGGCAAGAAAGAGTTATAGTTGACATTTTAGAGGACTGATTTGTTGACTTTTTCAACAAATATGTATAAAGGTCCTAGTAAGACCAGCTACTGTAGTAGGGGCTGACAGTAAGGAATGGGGGAAAGTGATCGAGGTCAGGCTGAGGTACTAGCAGACAAAACAGGTGTAAAAATACTGTATAGCTACAGAAGGGCCTACAATTCATAAGGAAGCAAAAAAGTACGAGGAAATAAGTGTAAAGGAAGGAAACTAATGCATCTTCCGGAGGAAGAAGAGGATGGAATAAAGGTGGCAAACACAAAGACTGCTGCTTTCCTGTCTTTTTTCAAATCAAAATATCATAGACTTATCTGAGAAAGGTAAAAAAAAAAAACAAAAAAAACCCTGTTCATTTTCTTAAAAAAACATTTATAGACAGAAATATTTAAGTAGGTTAGCACTAAAAAGGTCATACTGTAAGAGAAGATGAAGTAGAAATCAAAAATAAATTGTAAGCATGTGTACATGAATTAAAGAACAGTTACACTTGGGAAACTATTTTCCCTCTATGTGAATGGCTCTTGACTATGCTAAGCATTCAGGAAACAGTGACCACTTTTTCAGAATAATAAGTAGCCTCTCTTGGAAGAGGCCAAATGTACCTAGAATAATTCTAGGATTTGCAATCTGCTCCACTGAACAGATGAATCACCACAAGGTTAAATATAAAGAGTGGCATTTATACAGACTTTATGGTGAGAATGTACTTGGAGTCATGGCAAGCTATGAAAGGATCCATAAAAATGATTCCAATCCCATGTAAGTAGAAGACCTGAGGGAGTAGATCCCTTTTCCTCTTCTCAATTATCTAAATTGTAATATTTTGTATTTGATACATGTCAGCAGCATTAAAGAATTAAATAGACTGAGCACAGTGGCTCATGACTAATCCCTGCATGTTGGGAGGCTGAAGCAGGTGGATCACGAGGTCAGGAGTTCAAGTCCAGTCTGGCCAACATGGTGAAACCCCATCTCTAGTAAAAATACAAAAATTAGCCAGACACGGTGGCAGGTGCCTGTAATCCTAGCTACTCCAGAGGCTGAGGCAGGAGAATCACTTGAACCCAGGCAGCAGAGGTTGCAGTGAGCCAAAATTGTGCAACTGCACTCCAGCCTGGGCAAGAGAGTGAGACTCCATCTCAAAAGTAGGCGCTATCTAAAAAAAAAAAAAAAAAAAAAAAAATACTGCAGAACTCTGCACTATTTTTGTAACTTCTATGAGTCTAAAGTTATTTCAAAATAAAAATAAATAAACAAAAAGGATATGGGTAGTCTTGTTACAAGAAATAACATACATTATAAAATTTGCCATGAAGCAATCATAAAGAATAAATGTAACAATCCTTCAAATTGCTAAGAGTCCAATTTTCACTTCTCTCAATGGATGCAGGTGCGTATCAAGAGAAAAACTCAATTTCTGGGCTGGATATTCTACCGCCCACCAGCCATGTGACTTTAGGAAAATTACTTCAATCTTCCAAGCCTCTGTTACACCTACTTCACAGGGCGGTATCATATGCTAGTTGACTTTGGCATGCTATACAACTACTCATTGTTGTTATTTAAAATTTTGTTTAAACTGCATTATCTTGTCTTCATTAATGGGAGGAATAATGCTGAGAAATTAACTATTTGGATTTCTTCAGGTTTGTCACATTATCAAATTAATCATACTTCCCACTAGAGGCCCAGATTTAACCGACAGATTTATATAATAACAAAGACAGTTGTTACATATTACCTTCCTGGAAAATGCTTTATAATAGACCTATAACCTTAAAAATGTTACCTGCTTAGCCTTTTCCTTTAAAGCGCATTAACAGGATTAGTTAGCCTACTACTTTAAAATTAGTTTTGTTAATTCTGAAGAACAAGTTAGATATTTAAAATGACTAATAAGGTTTCATGGGGCATAAATATATAGTCTGTACAAATATATTAGCATCATACATAAAATATGCTAGATTAAATCTATTTTCTCCATAGATATTAAAAGCAAAATAATAGCTCTTTTGAAGAAAAAATCAATTAAGTCAGAAATTTCATGAAATCTAAAAGATGAATATTGAGAACCTAAAGCAAATGTTAAAGTTTGACAAGGAAAATGTATCTTTTATAAAATTGGAAACTGATGTGTACTTATAAATGATACAACATAAAATGTTTTTTATAATGTTAATATTTCAAAATTCTCATCCCTCTGTCTCCCATTAAGTATAATCTTAGGGGAAAATATTACAGGGTTAAAACTTAGTGTACAACTTAAAGGCTAATGGGAAAAAAAAGAGTAAAAGAATAACCTTTTCAAATCAAGCCTTTATCCATTAACATTAACATGGGTAAAGGTAGCCATTTTAACAAGGTAGCTAATTCTGTTTCCTGAAGAATGTATTTGTAGACCAAAAACAAGAATGATTGTTGTTTTTGTGGAAAAAAATCAAACACACCAACAGAAGTCACATAAAAATAATGTTTGGTAAGATATTATCTTTCAAACAGTAGGAATAGCAGGATTTTCTCTGTGCCCCTTTCAAAGTTTCCATGTGTTCATCATTCAGCAACAGTCTACTCACTTCCGCTGGGTGTGGTCCATGCCACTGTTTGGTATTCCTTCCAACTTTGTATTTTTCTGCCCACAGATATTTCCATAGCTGTCGTATCCTGACACTAGTCTTGCTGCTGCACCTGTTGCTATTGAAAAGCCACAAATAAATCCCTAGGAAAGAAACAGAAAAAAAAAACATACAAATAAACCATTTCAATAGCCAACAGTCACTAGTTGATACGATAATGAGCGTCTTTTGTCTGCTGAAGGGAACAAAGAGCTATCTTTCCTTATTGCAAACACTATTCTGCTGTTTTCCTTGGATTGCACATAAGCAGTACAAAGAAGTCCATAGGGAAACACTATTTACTATCATAACAAAACAAATCCCAACCTTTACATCATGAGATCATCTTTGAATTTTATAATAATAATAATAGTAATAACAGCAGCTTCTCAACATAGAACATCTGCTCTGTGCCAGTCTGTGTACTCTCAATAGGTGCTTGTTGTACATTATCTCTAATCCTCACAATGAAGAAACTGAGGCCTAGAGACATTAAACAAGTTATCCAAGGCCATCAAAGCTAGTAAAGATCAGAAAATAGAATCAAACCCAGCTTCCCTCATTCTTTAGTTTCATTTGGTTGTAAAGGGGTTCCGTTAAGTGAACATCAGCAAAGGATGAAAGAAACAAATTCAGAAAAAAACAGGAACGTGGGTTTTGAATTACTATCACTTCAGTACACACACACTTCTGTTTCCTTCCTGCAATAAAGCTATATACAAGTCAAAGAATTACATCATGAAGCAGTGCCATGTTCTTATGTTCTTAATACTGAAGATGAGGGGAGTAAGGCGCTCGCTTTGTATACTGCAAAGGTCACTTCATTTCATGGGAATATGCTTCATCACAGTACTAAAGGCAAATGGTAGATACTTCAGAAGCACATCATGCTTGCTAAGTCAAGTATGCACTGACAAAAACAAAGCAATAAAAGCCTACGCTTGACAGCAAGCTATTAGCCAAAAGAAGAGGAAGTGAATCACTACTGATAAATTGATTGTATTGGAGGAAAGACTGAGGTTAACAACTATTCTTACAACCTGGTCATTAAAAGGTTAAGTTTTTATTATCTTCAGTAAAGTGGCTAAGAAGGCAGAGACTATCATTATTTAATTAATCACAGCCAAGTATCATGAGTAGTACTTATCTAAATAGCCCTGCTAGATCTAAGGCCTACAGTGGAAAATACCGTAATCATATACAATTCCTCAGAGAAAAGTATTTCCCCTTTAAATATACTTACCTAAAAAAGCAAACAAACTCTTTTCTAAATAACCCCTGTACTTTCATTGTGCAGGTAAGGGAGCTATGAGGAAAGAATAAAGAGCATAGCTACAGTCAGTAGAAACTTCTTGAAAACTATACCTTGTAAAAAACGTAGACAGAGTAGAGACTATCCGTAATTTGCTACTCACTAACTTCAACTTTCTGTCTCAATTTACTCATCTGTAAAATTGAGATAATGAGTGTATGTAGCTCATTGGGCTGTTGTAAGGATTAAATGATATAATCCAGTAAAGTGGTAAAAAAAACCTGCCTGGCACATAGTAAGAGCTCAATAAAGTCTTAGCTATTATAGCTGTTAGATACTATTATTAGGAATGAGAACATGCTATAAGGGAAAGATGGTGGGCTTTGGGGTCAGAAAGCCTGTGTTGATCAATGGAATACTGATGACTCAATTTTCTTCTTGGGTGACCTTTAATCTCAGGTGACCTTGAAAAAACTTGCTTAATTCTATGCCTCAGTTTGCCACCTATAAATTAAGGTTAAAAACGACATCACAAAAGTTGTTGTGAAAATCACATGAGATAACACATGTTACATGTAAAGTGCATATCTCAGTACATGTTAGTCTCCTTCTGCCTCCAAGAAGCATCAAACTGTTAGCATTAGGGTTAGACACAGCTGGTCAGTACTTACTCATGCACACTCACCCTTTGCCCCTCTCCCCATCTCCTGACTCCTCCAAGGACACTGTAGGGTAATCAATTCCACCTCAGAACTTCAACCCAATACTGAGACATGTGAGAAAAAAAATTTAATCCTCTGCGTACATATTTCATATTTACAGTATGAATCTGCATACCATTTTAAGCATATCTTTGAACTCCAAATTAGAATATTAAGAGGTTTAATAGCTAACCTTTCCAACACGTCTTTTTTTTTTTTTTTTTGAGATGGAGTCTAGCTCTGTCATCCAGGGTGGAGTGCAGTGGTGCGATCTCGGCTCACTGCAACCTCTGCCTCCCGGGTTCAAGCGATTCTCCTGCCTCAGCCTCCTGCGTAGCTGGGACTACAGGCGTGCATATCACACCAAGCCAATTTTTGTATCTTTAGTAGAGACAGAGTTTCACCATGTTGGCCAGGCTGGTCTTGAACTCCTGACCTCAAGTGATCCATCCATTTTGGCCACCCCAAATGCTAGGATTACAGGCATGAGCTACCACTCCTGGCCTCTAACACATTTTTTAACAAGAAGCCTCACAGATTAATGATAAGGGAATGGACTTTGTATTCAGTAAAACCTGGATTCAAACCCTCACTCTACCAATTACTATCTATGTGACTTTGATCTAATTACATACTTAGACTCTGTTCCCTCCTCATCTCTAATACAGAATAATACCATCTATTTCACAGCCTAATGATGAAAACTAAATGAAATAACACATATCCAGTCCCTGGCTGAATGTCTGGTACATGGCAGGTGATCAATAAATGGTAGCTGTTAGCGGTGAATTTGAATGGGGAATCAGACTAAAGAGGTTAACAATGGTAATTGAACACTAACAAAAACCCCTTCAGTTCTCTATTTTAGAACAAAAATTTCTAGAGGGGAAGAGTGAGAATATAATTTTGTTACCATATAAAAATATTTTCAGACCACAATTACAATCTTCTTTCACTACTAATCTAGAATAGCAAAGTTGTTACATAATTAAAAGGTTATGTTCTTCTTTCACTTTTTATAGAAATTTTCTTCCTATGTTTGATAAGTACATTGTGTTACAGGTTCCTTTAAGTGGTTTCTGATTTCCTTTTCTGACTATTTTTAACAGTACTGTTGGACATGTGGGTTTTTTTCTTTATCATAAGCCACCTCACATCCCTCTGGGATGTAGGCAGGGGTATAAATTGTAAATGTTACATATATATGCTAAATTGGGACACTGACATATTTTCACATAGGCCACTTAAACTTCTTAGTAGCTTCCAGAAGCATTAGCGAGGGTGAGAAGCTGCCAGGGGTAGGGGGTGGGCAAGGAGAATAATAAGCTAATAAGATGAGAAGAAACCATGACTATTATCCTAGGGACTTCTCATATGGTACAAGCACTGACAATGGGGAACTAGGCCAAATATAATTAAAAATACAATTTCTTTAAAAAGAAAAATTTTAAAATCCAAATGTGGAAAGCAATATAGTTTCAGAAGGGAAAAAATGTGGCACATAAAATTAAAGTGGGGGTGAGAGAAACTTTACAGAATACACTCAATAATTTAATGGTTCAGTAGAGAGAGGAGGAAAAAGGCATTCAACAGAAGAAAAAAATCACATTAATTTAGCAAATGATAAGGGGATAAGGAAGGCTTTCATAAGCATGTAGTAGAAGGCAATCTTAGAGAGAAAGTAAAACTATAAGCAAGGAAGAAAACCACGGCTAATATGTTCAAATGAGTGAGCTACGGAAGTGCTTTCAGCACTGCTATTTTGAGAGAGAGGAGAGGAACAGACAAATTTATTCACAAACAGGAGGTGATTCAAATCAGATGAAGGCATACAGGGATGGTGGCTCAGAGGCATGATCTGGCAACTCGTAAGTACCGACTGCCTAAGTGGGAGAAAGACAATTTGCTCATTAATGAACTGTGTTCATTTTCCCTTCATATCACAAGGTCTAGTTGTACCTAAGTAAGGGGCTTTTCCTTAGTTTTATTTGCTATTAGTTAAAAAAAAATAGGACACAGTTTTATTTTACAAGCATGTTTGAAATTTATACCTGGAGCTTTTACTATGCAACTGAGCAAGACAGAAGGACTTCATTTAGTTTTGAAAAAAATGGTCAACAAAAACACGTATAGAGTGGGTGGGAGATGGTACATGAATGTGGCAAAATGTTTCAAAATAAAAAGACAGGGGAAAAAGGAGTTCTGCTTACAGCCCTCTCCCCTGGAATTAATGAAAACATATGTAGATTCTCTTTTTCTCAGATACCACCTCCTTCACTTCACCTCTATCCCGCCCATATCTCTTCAGTGCTTGGGATCTCATAATAACTGATTTGTAAAACCTTGGAATATTTGGCTTCTGTTTCTCTTCTTTTAAGAACCCTGAGACACAGAGGGCTATTAGGACCCAGCAGACAGGGCAAGATTAGTATACTACCCTAGAAAAGGCCTGATGTAGAGTGAGTATTTATGTAAACAAATTAAATAAAATTAATTTTAAACTTTTGCCAATCTGTCAGATTTCTAGATTTTTTAAAAAGTGTAATAGGATGCCTCACTCTAAGAATGTGGAAAGAAGAAAAAGGAAAAAAAAAAAAAAAAAACCAACAAAAATGAGGCCAGGAGCAGTGGTTCATCCTGTAATCCCAGCACTTTGGGAGGCTGAGGGGGGAGGATTACTTGAGGCCAGGAGTTCAAGACCAGCTTGGGCAATATAGTGAGACCCTGTCTCTACAAAAATAAAAATATTAGCCAAGCGTGGTGGCACACACCTGAAGTACCAGCTACTCAGGAGGCTGAGGCAAGAAGATTGCTTGAACCCAGGAGTTCGAGACTACAGTGAGCCATTATCATGCTACTGCACTCCAGCCTAGGCAACAAAGTGAGACCTTGACTCTGGAAAAAAAAAAAAAAAAAAAAAAAGAATGATAGAAAGCCTAGGAAATAACCACTCAATAAGCATTTATTGAGTATATTACAAATGCAAGGTTTACCCTAATAGAACTGAAATGTTCTTGAGAGAAGAAAATAATGGGCAAGGGGAAGCAAAATTAGAGGCTCAATTTCATGGCCAGCTAGAACAAGGATGAGAACACAGACAAGGAAGACTGAAAACTGACCCCCACTTTCCCATGAATCCTCCTTATGATCG